ACCCAGACTGCACTTGGGTATTTCCATTATACTCCCGCTTCCCTGTCCAAACACAAATCCCCGCACACCACCGCTGATCATGCAGGAAATAGACAGCACCAGACTCTTCTTAAGACAGGAAGTAAACTGCTTTATTTGAACTCAAACACAAGATATATACACAGGGCAGGGAAATACCACCAGGAACAGGAAATACATCAGCAGGCTCTCCCATCAGGGGGAAGGGCTGCAGGAGACCCCCCCCCCACCAAACCAAGACACAGAACAATAGGATGCAGCCACATGGCAGAGAACAATGAGCAATGGAACAACCACATGGCAGTGAACAATGCACAACCACATGGCAGTGAACAATCCCCACACCAATACACAATACTAGGACATTCCCGCACTGTACCCCATAACAGGCACAGAGTGGGTTAAACAGAGTAATTTAGGGAGCTGAGACATCCCAGATGTACTCTAAAGTTAGTCTGTACTTCCAGTCCCCCAATGCCAGCACCCACACAGTACCCCAAACAAATTGTCCCACACCAAGCATTACTCACCCAGCCAACCTCTGCCTCTCCCGTAGAACATACCTGCCGCTGGGGAGAAGCACGGACTGGTCCTTCTCCCTGAAGTCCTCTCAGCCGCTGGGGAGAAGACAGGGTGGCTGGGCCAACTCCATCATGCGGTGGGGGATCTGGGCCGACCGCCCAGTATCCCTGGGGTATCCAGGTGGTGACTGTAGTCTCCTCCACTTTGACTTGATGGACATCCCCCAGTATTTGCAAAGTAAGGCTGACATCCTCTTGTCCCAATGCCAGACCCTTTTCTGGGGTTGTGTCAGTGGAGACCGAAGTCCCATCCATGGACATCAGCTCAAGCTGCTGTTGTGAGGTGCCGATTGCATCTTCTTCCTGTAGCTCCTGCGGTGCTGATTGTTGTGGGCAGAGGTCAACCACGCCATGCCCTGATGCCAGCTCTTCTGCTGCTGGTTCCTCCTGAGCAGAAAAGTCAATCAAATCCCCAGTCTCTGGGACTGGTGTCTGGGGATAGCGGTTCACCATCTCCTGTCTGTGGAACTCAGAAGACGTTACCAGTGCTGGGCAGAGTTCACTAATGTTTGGCCCTGTTGCCAGGTCTACTGCTGGTTCCTCCTCAGCCGAGAAGTCTATCAAATCCCCAGTCTCTGGAACTTCCACTGCTGATTCTTGGGCATGCTGCCGAACATGTTTTAGCAGTTGCCTGTATGCCCTTTCCAGATGCAGTTCTTTCTTCAGCGGGTATTCCAGATCTGGTTCAAGCTCTGAGACCCCTGTGAGCAGTGGAAGTACCAAACATAGCCTCTCTGCCCTCTCGCAACTCCTCCAGGGTAGGTTCTCCTTCATCGCCAAACACAAAATGATCTGTAAGGCTCTCCCACAGCAATCCTGGCCCACCAAAGTCATGTCCCTCAGGAGAGCACTCTGTTGACACCCCTAAATATTCCTGCTCTGCGTACCATCGCAAAGCCCTATATCGGTTGTCCAGCTCTATTTCCTGCTGGACCAGCCTGTGCAGCTCAGTCACCCATTGCTCCTGGGGTCGGTTTCCCAGGAATGGCATCTGTAACTTCCGATGGTCCCTGGCCGGTTCCCCTGGGGTTGGATAGCACTTGCCTTTATCCATACCAGCAGCCTGGAGGGCTCCTCTCCAAAGCACCTCCCAAATCTGCTGCCTGAGCGCCGTAGACACAGTCCTGGGGTATGTTGCAAGAACAGTCTGTAGCAGCCCTGGGAACTCTGATGCCAGGTCCATATCTCTACTGGGGTGACCGTCTCCTTTCCTGAGCTTGAATCCTGGTGGTGGTTTGGATGTGTTCACAGCTTGGAAGCACAATCCCACTGCTGCCACCAATGTAACGGAACCGGACCCAGACCACACTTGGGTATTTCCGTTATACTCCATCTTCCCTGTCCGAACACAAATCCCCGGACACCGCCGCTGATCATGTAGGAAATACAGCACCAGACTCTTCTTAAGACAGGAAGTAAACTGCTTTATTTTAACTCAAACACAAGATATATACACAGGGTGGGGAAATACCACAAGGAACAGGAAATACATCAGCAGGCCCTCCCATCAGGGGGAAGGGCTGCAGGAAACACCCCCCCCCCCACCAAACCAAGACACAGAACAATAGGATGCAGCCACATGGCAGAGAACAATGGAACAACCACATGGTAGTGAACAATCCCCACACCAATACACAATACTAGGACATTCCCACCCTGTACCCCTTAACAGGCACAGGGTGGGTTAAACATAAGAGTAATTTAGGGAGCTGAGACAGGGGTCTCCCCACCCCCAAAAGTCACCACTACCGTCACATATACCCACTGTAGAACCACAACCTTACATGCAACCATTGCCAAGAGGAACACAGAGTGAAAGCCATGCCTCTTCTCCACTGGGGCCGATTCACAGCAGCTCCTGTGTCAACTGGGCTTTGGCTCAGTCACCTTCTTGGGAAAAGCTGTATGTAAAGTTTGGATTCTAAAGGGAGTGGGCACGAACCGGAAGTCTGTCGAGACTCCAAAGGTCTCGGCAGGCACAGAGGGAGCACCTGCATTTCTGAAGGCGGTCAGGGCACAGTTAGAGACGCAAGAGTAGAAATTTGTAAAAAGCACAGCAAGAACATGCATGTCATACTAATAAGCTTTGATGTCAGTTCAGGTTACAAAGTTTCTAAATTGGCTTTAATGTCCGTTTAACTTTCAAAGGAGTGGTTGACCGCTATCTGCTCATTTACTTACAAGGCTGTGTGCTGTCATAGATAAAGAATGAGTTTGGTATCTATAGCAGCAGCTCCCTCTAACAAGCTTTTTTTAAAGTAACTGTAATTTTTATTTATTTTTAATTAAAATAATATGTTATATTTGCCTTCCCTGTGCAGTGGTCTTGCACAGGCCAGCCCTGATTATCTTCTTCTGGACTCCCCTGCTGGTTCTTTCAGCTTCTCCTCTTCTGTGTCTGCCCCCAAAGCAAGACTCTTGCTATGGTGTTGACGTGAGGGCTCACTTCCGAGACGGGCTCTTTGTGTCCATAGACATACACAGTGTGACTCAGCCCCATCCTTCGCTCCCTCCTCACTGGATTTGATTGACTGCAGTAGGATCCAATGGCTCCCACTGCTATCAGCAAAGCCTGAGAGACCAGGAAGATACTGGAGAAGACTGGCAACCAGGCACAGTGTTGGATTGAGAGATGACTCAGGTAAGTGTTAGGGAGGGGATCTGTGAGAACAGACAGTGAAACATTTTTTATCCTTAATGCAGAGAATGAATTAAGGTAAAAAAAAAAACTTTAGTGTTTACAACCACTTTAAGGTGATCAATCAAAAATACGTAAAGAAAATGGTCCGCATTCCACCTCCCATTATGCACATGAGATATGAGAAGCGACCTTGTATTACAACAAAAGAACAGAGATTGGCCTGTGTTTTCCCAGTTGTTGGTGCCACACCCTTGGTTGAACTGGTGGTATTTTTTCACATCTCAAACATTTGATTGTGGACTTTTTATTGATTTATAGCGCATCACCTTTTATTTTTATTTCTGTTTTTAGTATGTATACTTTTTGTGCTAGCATCTTACCTTGGCTGGCTGCACAAATTAAATTTACCTTCCTAGCAGTAATCCCAAGTGTTGCTCGGGGTTAATTTTCAGTACCAAAAGTGGTATACCATTCTTTCTGCCTAGAAACTTGAGAATGTCCATGGCATCCAAAAAGCTTCCCTTTTTAGGTCAAAAGCAGTTTTAGACCAGCTAGAGAACAGGGATAAGGAATTAGAATCACTTGCAGAATTGAGCGATAGTGATTCATGGGGAAATTCGTCATCGGACACTGAAAGTGATGACAGCGACGATTCTGGGACTGAGCTCATTGATATGCCTAGTAGTATTGCACCCTTGTTTGGACAAATTTTAATGTTTTTTGTTTTATTACATTATTGAATTTAATTTTTTTTTTAAATATTTATTCTATTATAATTTATGATTGTGTTTCAAACTTTATCCTACCCGGGATGTTTACTAGACTCTTGTTTGGACAGATTTAAGTGAGTTATTCCTAAGAATTACAGGCCTACAATATAAAACAACAAATTTCCATGTAAAACAGTGTACTGCTTTGACTTTCAAAAATATTGACATACTGTAATCAGACCACCAGGGAGATTAAAAAGCTTTCTATTAGCATGGGTTGTTTCAAACTATATGTTGCTGTTGACTCTCCCTGTCACATGGAAGATAATGAAAGATAGATTAATATAGAACTGTCCACTTTTTGTTGGTGAAAAAAAAAATTGTCTCTTAAACATGAACCTGGTTTATATAGACTGGCAGTCTCCGAGTTAAAAAATAACCGACTCATACTTAAGAACGGATTACCGTGATGTCACACTGGTCCCGGAAACCGCCAGTCGACCATCCTGTTGTCTACCGCATGCTGCCACCTACTGTCCGGTGGATCTGTCAGCAATCCCAATACTTCCTTGGCTGCAGTACACTTAAAAAATGTACCTGTTCCAAATTGCATACAAATTCAACTTAAGAACATACCTACAGCACCTATCTTTGTTTGTAACCCAGGGACTGTGTGTGTGTGTGTGTGTGTGTGTGTGTGTGTGTGTGTGTGTATATATATATATATATATATATATATATATATATATATATATATATATATATATATATATGTATATGTGTATGTATATGTATATGTATATGTATATGTATATATATACACATACACAGTATCTCACAGAAGTGAGTACACCCCTCACATTTTTTAAAATATTTTATTCTATCTTTTCCTGTGTCAACACTGAAGAAATGACACTTTGCTACAATGTAAAATAGTGAGTGGACAGCTTGTATAACAGTGTAAATTTGCTGTCCCCTCAAAATAACTCCACATACAACCATTAATGTGTAAACCGCTGGCAACAAAAGTGAGTACACCCCTAAGTGAAAATGTTCAAATTGGGCCCAAGGTGTCAATATTTTGTGTGGCCACCATTATTTTCCAGCACTGTCTTAACCCTCTTGGGCATGGAGTTCACCTGAGCTTCAAAGGTTGCCACTGGAGTCCTCTTCCACTCCTCCATGATGATATCACAGAGCTGGTGGATGTTAGAGACCTTGAACTCCTCCACCTTCCATTTGAGGATGCCCCACAGATGCTCAATAGGGTTTAGGTCTGGAGACATGCTTGGCCAGTCCACCACCTTTACCCTCAGCTTCTTTAGCAAGGCAGTGGTCGTCTTGGAGGTGTGTTTGAGGTCGTTATCATGTTGGAATACTGCCCTGCGGCCCAGTCTCCGAAGGGAGGGGTTCATTTTCTGCTTCAGTATGTCAGTGCATGTTGGCATTCATGGTTCCCTCAATGATCTGTAGCTCCCCAGTGCTGGCAGCACTCATGCAGCCCCAGACCATGACATTCCCACCACCATGCTTGACTGTAGCCAAGATACACTTGTCTTTGTACTCCTCACCTGGTCGCCGCCACACGCTTGATACTACCTGAACCAAATAAGTTTATCTTAGTCTCATCAGACCACAGGACTTGGTTCCAGTAATCCATGTCCTTAGTCTGCTTGTCTTCAAACTGTTTGCAGGCTTTCTTGTGCATCATCTTTAGAAGAGTCTTCCTTCTGGGATGACAGCCATGCAGACCAATTTGATGCAGTGTGCGGTGTATGGTCTGAGCACTGACAGGCTGACCCCCCCACCCCTTCAACCTCTGCAGCAATGCTAGCAGCACTCATACGTCTATTTCCTAAAGAAACCGTCTGGATATGACGCTGAGTATGTGCACTCAACCTCTTTGGTCGACCATGACGAAGCCTGTTCTGAGAGGAACCTGTCCTGTTAAACAGCTGTATGGCCTTGGCCACCATGCTGCAGCTCAGTTTCAGGGTCTTGGCAATCTTCTTATAGCCTAGGCCATCTTTATGTAGAGCAACAATTCTTTTTTTCAGATCCTCAGAGAGTTCTTTGCCATGAGGTGCCATGTTGAACTTCCACTGACCAGTATGAGAGAGTGAGAGCGATAACACCAAATTTAACACACCTGCTCCCCAATCACACCTGAGACTTTGTAACAGTAACGAGTCACATGACACCGAGGAGAGAATATGGCTAATTGGGCCCAATTTGGACATTTTCACTTAAGGCTGTACTCACTTTTGTTGCCAGTGGTTTAGACATTAATGGCTGTGTGTTGAGTTATTTTGAGGGGACAGCAAATTTACACTGTTATACAAACTGTACGCTCACTACTTTACATTGTAGCAAAGTGTCATTTCTTCAGTGTTGTCACATGAAAAGATAGAATAAAATATTTACAAGAATGTGAGGGGTGTACTCACTTCTGTGTGTGTGTATATATAGTAAGAATTCAGGGTTAGATGACTGCAACATTATATGAATGCATTATGTATTATTCAGGTACCCTAACAGTGGAGCAGATCTATCAGGACAGAGATCAGTTTGCTAAGCTGGTGCGCGAAGTGGCAGCTCCTGATGTTGGTCGTATGGGTATAGAGATCTTGAGCTTCACCATCAAGGTGAGAACTTTTATCATATCCCTAAAGTTATGCAGAAAAAAATTGCACTTCTATGTACCGAAATGAACCAGCATCAGTTTTTGTTCTTGAATGCAGAACAGTTGGCATCTAAAAGAAAAAATAATGTATTACAGCTAGGCTAACTTTTTTCTGAATTTTGTAAATTGTTTTTTTACATTTTAATGAGAAATTGAGGATGTAAAAGGATCTGGGGGTTATAGTAGATGACAGACTCAGCAATAGTATGCAGGACTAGCAAAGTATCATTCATTAAAAGGGTATTTACTCAAAAAATAAAACTATCATTCTAACACTGTACAAAATTCTGATTTGGCAAGATCTTGAGTTTGTCATCCAGTTTGATCACCAGTCCTCAGGGAGAATGTGCTTGAAGTGGAGAGAGTCGAGAGAAGGACATAAACAGTGACTTTAAGGGTTTCAGAAGCCAGGAGGCAGGCGGGGTTTTAGGGTCATGTGACCGCTGTGATTCGCTGTCACGGTGGTCACATGATCTGGAAAGTTTCCAATCACAAGAGGAGATCAGGAGTCAGGACCTTTCCGTGTGTGCTGGTGGCACGCACTCTCAGCACATATGTTTTTTTTTATTGCACAAAAATGTGCGGCCGCTCGGCGTCAAGGCCCAGATGCCGTGAGGCCGCACATTTGCGTGCTCTCGGTGTGAAGAGGTTAACCTAAGTTCTCTAAAGCACACACGTGACCGTACAATGAATTTGGTTGAGAAGCAGTTCCGTCTTAAACTGTGTAAGGTGTTCTTTACGGTTAGAGCTTTAAGTATGTGGGACTCCTTTCCACAGTTGGTTGGGTCGGCGGGGAGTATAGATAAATTCAGAAAACATCTAAATGTGTTTTTTGGCAAATGAAATGTACAGGGATACGGAAAATGGTAGTGACAAACATGCATGTGCACATCAGGTTGAACTGGATGGACTGGTGTCTTTATTTAACTTTACCAACTATGTAACTTGTGCTTTATTTTGTGTATTTGTCGTAGCTATGTGTATCATTGACAAATGATGGATTGCAAGAAAACGCAACCTTTTATTGTCCACCTGCTTTAATGAAATTACCTTCTCGTACATATTTGTGCACAGGAATCTAAATAACCAGAAAGTACTGGCTGTCACTACTTGTCTCATTATGCTGTGCAATAGCCAGATGTTTGACACTATACTGCGTTCGTAATGTGAATAATCTACTATAAGGCAATGTTTTTTTTTGATTTTTTTTATGCTTGCAGGATGTGTATGACAAAGTTGAGTACTTGAGCTCCCTGGGCAAGACACAGACTGCTGTTGTGCGGAGAGATGCTGATATTGGTGTTGCCGAAGCTGAAAGAGATGCGGGCATTAGAGTGAGTATTACCATTATAAACCCGATCATATACCACACATAATACAGGTAGAGGTTGTTCGTTGGATAAGAGATACTGATTTATTTCTTCTATAGGAAGCCATGTGTAAGAAGGAAATGCTGGATGTCAAGTACCTGGCTGATACCAAAATTGCAGATTCCAAAAGAGAATTTGAACTTCAGAAAGCAGCATTCAGCCAGGAAGTGAACACTAAAGGTAGGGGAGCAAGCCATCCTGCTTATTAAAATATTAACATTTTTTGGATCTTTCTTTTTTTTTTTTTTTTTTTTATGTCTTTGTATTTCTTGCAATTATATCATCTTCTCATTTCTTATACAGAAAGCAGAGGCCCAGCTGGCTTATGAGTTGCAGGCAGCCAAAGAACAGCAGAAGATTCGACAGGAAGAGATTGAGATTGAGGTTGTGCAGCGTAAAAAGCAGATTGATATTGAAGAGAAGGAAGTTGTACGTATGGACAAGGAGCTGATTTCCATGGTCAGGAGACCAGCAGAAGCTGAGGCATATAGGATGCAGCAGATTGCTGAAGGAGAGAAGTACATACCCTTTTCTTTGTAATATTTCAGTCTGTGTTTCTCATATTGCAAATTTTAGCATCTCCATAGATGTGTGCAGGAGTTTGTGTATAGTTAAGTATTACATTTTCATTTGGCTGAAACTTAGCTGCAGCAATATCACGCTCTGTGAGAACCATTCTGGAATTGTTGTTTAAAAGCTTACTAAAAACAAAACAATGTATCATATTGCAGCTTACTAGCCCTTAGATGAGTGCTGCATTCTTTTAATTTTTCCCCCTTTTAATTCCACCTGTCCCATAAATAACTAATTTCTTGTCCCTGGCTGGCTATGCTCATTCCTGTACTTTATGGAGGGAGCCATGGTTCTCACCAGGCAGCTCACCTTATTGTACCACAAACAGGTCTTTATCTCTGTTACATGAAGGGACAGGGAAATCTGTAGTTTATAAAAGATGTTTTTGAAGGGTATACCAGATCCTTCCCAGGAATTTATCACCACGTTTCTGGAAAGATCAGAAGGTATTTTGTGTACTTTCTGAAAATGAAAACTAATGTAGCCACCACATCTAAGGATTAGTAAGCTGCAATTTATTTTATTTTTCCTGGAAATTGTCACCATAACTAACGTAGGATGGTGGTTGTTTAGAACTTCTGTCAGGTTCTAATTGCTATTTGTGTTCCTGTTGAGGAGATTCACTTCTTTTTGTCTTGCCAACCATTTGGAAATCCAGAACAGGTGGTGAGGAGAAATCATTTAATGGTGACACCTGTTCTGATGATAACTGTTTAGAAGGTGATTACACTTCCATATGGAGATTTACTGTACGTCTGTGAGAAAGGACTAATAGGAAATCTCAATTGTGCATACACAGAAAAACATACCTAAAGACATAATTCACTACTCTGTCCCAAAGGTAGCAAAAATGTTTTGGCTATATTCACTTTGGGGTCTATTTTTCATTGTTTTCACCCAAGATTCACATGTTTCACATAAGTGTCAATTAGAAATGTGTGAATTGTATGTGAAAACATTGGCAATTTGACCCCTTTAGAAAATAAACCAGGACGTTAGATGCTCTCTGGATTTCTGGCAGATCAATGGGCATTTTTCTGTACTTGTCATTTTTAAAAACAAAACATGGAAATGGTGCACCTATTGCAGAAATGTACTGAATGTTTGTTTTTTTGGGGAGGGTTTTTTCCCCTGATGTACACTAGACTGACTGAGGACATACACATTTGGATTTGGGGTTTTAAACTAAATGATACTATATACAGAGAAGAAATGTGTTCTATTACTTTAAATATCTGTGACGTTTCTGTATAGGGTCAAACAAGTGCTGATAGCTCAGGCTGAAGCTGAGAAAATCCGAAAAGTGGGAGAAGCTGATGCATCAGTTATTGAAGCTATTGGTAAAGCAGAAGCCGAGAGAATGAAACTGAAAGCTGGAGCTTATCAGAATTATGGAGAGGCTGCTAAAATGGCCCTTGTTTTGGAGTGCCTGCCTGAGGTAATGGGCCATTACAACAGTGCCAAGTTATATTTGTTTCCCCATTTTTTTCATCATGTCTGTTCAAATGTTTCCGTAAGGTGTATGAAAAGTACTGGTCAGGAAATCATTTTTCTAAACATAAAAATATGTAGAGCCCCTTTGTGTTATTTAACTTTGCAGCTATGCTTTTAAAGATATACCAGTGAACAAGTTTCTTCATTATTATCTGTCCCTTAAAGTAATATTAAACCATCAGACCCAGTTCACATCTAGCAATTTGGAATTGCTGCCTTTCTAAATTGCACTGCAATGCTGGCAAAGTGCATCATGTGTGTTTTGTGCGCCATTTATTTTTATTGGCCCCTGAAATGCAGTGTGGTTTTGTTGTGGCAAACTGCATTGTGCAAAGCTTGTCTCCCAAAGAAGGAAAAGACAAATATCAATCAAAACAAGAAACATACTATCTAGGGGTCCTGTTCAGAGGCAAGAGCTGTCACCAGGCCTGACGGTGTGGAGGATACCATATTAGACTAAAGGTCTCGTTGTGCACACTGCCGCACCACGTTTTAGGTGCCATTAAAAATGATTTGCACACAAACAGGCATGCTATGTTTTGTCAGCATTGCAATACAACTTGGATTCGTGGGCAGAATTCCACCCGCGATCCCAAATCACTAGATGTAAACGGGGCCTAAGTGTTTTTTGGCTTAACCCATGAAACATTCCCCAGGAAACTATTATGTAAAAATTCTTAATCCAATAATTGCAGGTTGCAACATTTTTAATCATAGATCCATTATTCATGGTCAGCCCGAAACTGATGACCAGTGGCAGACTGACAAGTCATGGGGCCCCTGGGCAATAGGGGCTCATGGGGCCCCTATGTCCTTGCCCACACTCAGCACACCCAAAAAATCCTATAAAAAGGTACCAGGGGCATTTCATGGGGCCCCCTACTGACCCCGGGCCCTCGGGCTGTGCCCAAGTGCTCGAATGGTCAGTCCAGTCCGCCGCTGCTGATGACCTGTTGGGGCTCTTAAAATTTAGGCTACTGAAGTTTGTTGTTTCACAGGCACATACAATTTTAAGGCATGCCATGATTGGTATCTCTTTTCTAGTCACAGCCTCATCTTATATATATTACCAAAAATGTAATAATATATTGGGAATACTTGCTATAACTGGTGTACTTAGAAGCTGATTGGCTACCATACACATATTGGCCAGATTCTAACTTCAGCTTGTTCATGTAAACTTTGACAATAACACCTGGAAGCTGATTGGTTTCTCTGCAAAGCTGCACCAGATTTGTAATAATTTTCTTTAGTACAACCCCCATTGTGTTTGCGTGCCCTAAAATTAACCTCTTGGCACTGGCCACACGCAAATATGCGGACTCCTGGTGTCTGGGCCTTGACACCGAGCGGCCGCACATTTGTATGCAATTAAGAAAAACATAAGTGCTGAGAGCGCACGCCCTGTGCGCTCCCAGCACAGTCCAGTACTCAGTGAAAGGTTCCGATCTCCTCTTGCGATAGGGACCTTTCCCGATCATGTGACCGCCGAGACAGTGAATCACAGCGGTCACATGACCCAAAAGCCCCGCCTCCAAGTTTCTGAAACCCTTAAAGGGCCGGAAGGCGCCAGTGCCAAGGGGTTAACTTTAGTGTACTGTATGTCTTGAATTTTTGCATTTGGCAAAACCATTGTGCTAATTTCATGTGACGTAAAAAATTGGCACTTCCACTATTTTATTCTTTAGTGTCCAGGCTTTCAGAAAATGTTTTGGGGGTATTAAGTAATCTTCAGGCCTAAAAAATGTTTTTTGAAACGTGCAAAAAAAAAATACAAATACAGCCCTGGCATCGAAAAGGTTATTTTTTGCAAAAAGTCATTCTACCAAAGGTACATATGAAATTACATCAGAAAAGTATCTCTAGGATCTCCTTAGTTATGCCTGTTGCCTAAGCTGTCTTCTGCACATCTGATGGGTTGCCAGGATGTCATTTTTCATATAAAACCAAAATAACTTGCAGCCACTTTCTACACACAGAGGTGTGGACATTTTTTTTATAAACTACTTGTCCAAGGATTAAATTGGGGTCCCAATCTGCTTGTCCCTCATGACAACCTATTTGTCCTGATTAAAAAAAAATAATTTCAACCAAAACCATATTTAAATCTGAGGTGCTTTTAAAAACACAAATCGGGGCTTATGGCAACTTGAACTTTTTAATATTTTTAACATTGCGCTGTTTATCTCCAGCTCCCCTCCCTGCCTGTCTCCTGCACCCAGGGACCAGCAGGGAAGGGAGAGACCTTGGAGTGTGACTAGCACCAATTTTATTTATTTATTTTTTTTTTTTGGCAGTGCAGGGCTTCTGCAGACTGTCAGTGTAAACTGTCTGTCCCTACATCGTATGGGCAGTCCTTTTCACACTGACAGGAAGAATCAACGAACTACCTGAGCACTCAACAGCACCGTGGTAGTTCATTGAGACAGATGGTACGGGGAACATCTCCCTGTACTGCTGTCAGACAGAGGGCTTGGATCACCAAGCCGCTGCAGGAAGAGGTTACATGTTCAACCCTAAAAAAAAAGTCTAACGTGTTCCCGAAGGTGAACTTGCCCTTTAACCTTTTCACTGCCAGAGATGTTAGTTTTTTTTGTACACCTTTAAAAAATCACTTTAGGCCTGAAGATTACATAAAACTCCCAAAATATTAAATATTTTCTGAAAGTGTACACCCTAGAGAATAAAATAGTGGTAGTTCCAATTTTTTATGCTACACAATATTACCGCAAAGATCTAGGAAACTCAAAATTTCAGTAAAAAGTGCACTAAGGTTAATTTTAGAGCACAAAAACAATATATGGCCTAAATTTTTTTTAATATAATAAAAAAGATGAGGTTGCACCAAGTAAATAGATGCCCAACTTGTTAAACCTTAAATTTGCATGCACCTGTGAAATGGCGACAAAATTCAGTACACTATATTTCCTATAGGCGACGGTTTAAAAACCCCTGTAGGTCATCAGTTTAGCGTTACGGGGGAGGTCTGGTGCTTTTGCTCTCATTCCGGCATGCGCGGCAAATATGCAACATTTATATCACAATTGCATTTTTATGCATAGGCACCCCAACGTGTGCGATTGTACTTGTGTAAATGTGGCGTGGGGGGAATTTTATGTGCTTGGGTGTAACTTTTTTATACAATTAAAAAATATACAGTCATGGCCGAAATTGTTGGCACCCTTGATATTTCTCCAGGAAATCATGTATTTCTCACGAAACGTATTGCATTAACACATGTTTTGCTATACACATGTTTATTCCCTTTGTGTGTATTGGGACAAAACAAAAAAAGGGAGGAAAGAAAGCAAATTCGACATAATGTCACACAAACCTCCAAAAATGGGCTGGACAAAAGTATTGGCACCCTTTCACAACTGCGGATAAATAAGAATGTTACAAGCATGTGATGCTCCTGTAAACTCACCTGGGGCAAGTAACAGGTGTGGGCAATATAGAAATCACACCTGAAAGCAGATAAAAAGGAGAGACGTTCACTTAACCTTTGCATTGTGTGTCTGTCTGTGCCACACTAAGCATGGACAACAGAAAGAGGAGACGAGAACTGTCTGAGGACCTGAGAACCAAAATTGTGGCAAAATATCAACAATCTCAAGGTTACAAGTCCATCTCCAGAGAACTAGATTTGCCTTTGTCCACAGTGCGCAACATTATCAAGAAGTTTGCAACCCATGGCACTGTAGCTAATCTCCCTGGTCGTGGACGGATGAGGAAAATTGATGAAAGATTGCAACGCAGAATAGTCCGGATGGTGGATAAGCAGCCCCAAACATGTTCCAAAGACATTCAAGCTGTCCTGCAGGCTCAGGGAGCATCAGTGTCAGCGCGAACTATCCGTCGACATTTAAATGAAATGAAACGCTATGGCAGGAGACCCAGGAGGACCCCCACTGCTGACACAGAGACATAAAAAAGCAAGACTACAGTTTGCCAAAATGTACTTGAGTAAGCCAAAAGCCTTCTGGGAAAACGTCTTGTGGACAGATGAGACCAAGATAGAGCTTTTCGGTAAAGCACATCATTCTACTGTTTACCGAAAACGGAATGAGGCCTACAAAGAACAAAACACAGTACCTACGGTAAAATATGGTGGAGGTTCAATGATGTTTTTTGGGGTTGTTTTGCTGCCTCTGGCACTGGGTGCCTTGACTGTGTGCAAGGCATCATGAAATCTGAGGATTACCAAAGGATTTTGGGTCGCACTGTAGGGCCCAGTGTCAGAAAAGCTGGGTTTGCGTCCAAGATCCTGGGTCTTCCAGCAGGACAATGACCCCAAACATACGTCAAAAAGCACTCAGAAATGGATGGCAAAGAAGCGCTGGAGAGTTCTGAAGTGGCCAGCAATGAGCCCAGATCTAAATCCCATTGAACACCTGTGGAGAGATCTTAAAATTGCTGTTGGGAAAAGGTGTCCTTCCAATAAGAGAGACCTGGAGCTGTTTGCAAAGGAAGAGTGGTCCAAAATTCCGGGTGAGAGGTGTCAGAAGCTTATTGATGGTTATAGGAAGCGACTGATTTCAGTTATGTTTTCCAAAGGGTGTGCAACCAAATATTAAGTTAAGGGTGCCAATACTTTTGTCCAGCCCATTTTTGGGGTTTTGTGTGACATTATGTCATATTTGCTTTTCTGCCTCTGTTTTATATTTGTTCCAATACATACAAAGGGAATAAACATGTGTATAGCAAAACATGTGTTAATGCAATACCTTTTTTGTGTGAAATACTTGATTTTCAGGAAAAATATCAAGGGTGCCAACAATTTCGGCCATGACTGTATATATATTTTTACTTTTCTTTTTTTCAGCACATAGTGGACAAAAAGTGATGTTTTTTGGTGACAGGTTCTCTTTAATGAGACATGCAGAGTCAGCTCTTTTCCTTTCTGTCTAACTGGCAGCGCCCGCTATTCCTGACCTGGGCCACAGATGGGCAAGCGGAATCCGGGACATAGCGGGGAGCTGACACTTTCTCAGCATGTGTGGAAACAATTGGGTGGCAGTGGAGCCACCCAAATTTTTCACCTGACAAGCCCTTCTGCTTACCCGTAAACAAGCACTACCAGCCGGTGCCCGAAACAACATATCCTGGGCGCCGGGAGATACAAATTGCACATCCCTGCACACCTCTCCCCTTGGATCATTCCCTTTTTGCATGCTTCGGAACATTCCAGAAATGTTTGAGGTTTTTTTATTTTTTATAGAAATCTTGATTTTAGGACAACTGACATTGAATCAACCAGGTATAACGATGAGCATTAACAGTTATGTTTTATAACAAAGGTATATTTATTCCTTGATAGGTTTAATCTTCAGACTTTGTTATTTGTATCCCCAGATTGCTGCCAAAGTTTCTGCTCCTCTGTCCAAGGTGGATGAGATTGTCATTCTTAGTGGTGAAAACAGTAAAATAACCAGTGAAATGAACCGCCTACTCGCTGAAGTCCCTGCTTCTGTTCAAGCACTCACTGGAGTGGACCTGACCAAGGTTTGTGTGTGTGAAGATTTCTCTGTACTTGGGGACCCTATCATCACTGCTTAATTTTTAAAGGCAAATTTGTCTTTATTTGGTTTTGCAATAAATCAAACAATACATAGTAAAGAAAGAATTATGAGAACATCAACATTGATAAGGGTGAATAGCAACATTCAAATAGGAATTAGCGTAGTCTATGGATGTGGAAGATATGGGTCGTAGTCAAAGAGGGGGCATCACCCATCAGACGATATTCAAAGATGATACAGTAATTCCTTAGCATCTAAATGAGAAACCCTTGTAGAGAGTAATGGAAACGCTCGAGAGCGCGGGGCAGGGGGAAAGAGATGTAGGTAGGGCAAGAGGGAAAGAGAGAGGGGGGCGAAGAGAGTCACGAATGAGAAAGGGGCGCACAGTTGGGAGGGGGGGGGGAGAGAGAGAGAAGAAAAAAAAATTTAAAAGGGGGGGGGGGGGGGAGAGGGGGAGACTATCCTGGGTGGGGAGGTTGGCCGGAGCAGGCCTGTTAGGTGGTCCGCCGCTGGTATTTCGCCGGGGTGGACCCCTTGGTCACCCCCTTAGGGCGTGTCAGATAGTCAACTCTGGGTGTATGCGGGGGGGTGTTGATTATGACTCCTTCAAATCCCATCAGGGGCGCATAGATTTCGCAGGCGTGACGATGAGGAGAAGTGGAGCCAGACCGATCACAACAACTTGTTTATCGAAGGTGTCGCTGTCGAATGCCAACATTTCCTCCATGCGCATGGTATCATTTAGCACCGAGACCCACAATGGGAGGGGCAGGGGGGTCGTCGACCTCCAGTAGAGGGGTATCAGTTGGCGGGCCGCAGATGGGAAGAAGCGCAGCAAGCTTTTCTTCTGATTAGCTAAAGAGCCCGGGAGGATTGAGAGGAGGGCAATTTCCGGTGTGGGGGTCAAAGATTCACCGTGAATTTCGTCATATATGGCAAAGATCTGTCGCCAGTAAAGTTGTATTAGGTCGCAATCCCACCAGATGTGGAGCTGGGTACCGACCGCTTTAGAACAGCGCCAGCACAGGTTCGGTGTGGAGGGGAATATTTTATGTAGAGAGAGGGGGTCCCTGTATCATCGAGCGAGGATCTTGAAGTTCTTCTCTTGTGAATAACAGGAGATGGACGACTTATGGGTGAAGTGAAATGATTTGCACCAGTCTGTGTCCGTTATGTCTCTGCCGAGTTCTCGGGCCCACGCCCTGGTGTAGGGTGGGGGTTCGGGGTGGAGAGTGTCGTGAAGAGATTTATATAGGGTGGCTAGGACATGTCTAGGCAGACTGGGGAGAGAGCATAGTCGCTCAAACTCAGTGAGTGGTCGGTGAATGTCGGGGGAGGAGTGTAGGTGGTTGCAGAATGTGGATAGTTTCAGAGTCGTCTACCAATTCCGAGATCCACCCCGGAGCAGTGGGAGACCTGATTGGGGGCAGATGAAGTCACGGGCGACGGGCCAAGAGGTGCGCGTGAAGGGGTCGATGGCCACAGCTCCTACACTCTGGGGTAGGGCCGGGTTGTCGAACAAGGGTGATAGAGGGGAAGGGTCGGATGGCACTAGAGCAACCATGCCCCATCTGTACCACAAACACAGAGAGGCCGAGGTGAGCGGGAATAGGCCAGAGAGATGCCAATGTTCTCGGTTGTACCCCCACAGGAGGGCTCGGAGGTCGACCGGGGAGAGATCCTGTTCAGCCATGCAGGAGGCCTTGGGTAATGGCCTGGGGAACCAGTCTAGGATTCGGGTCGTCAATGTAGCTTTGTGGTACAGCTCAAAGTCCGGTAGACCTACGCCGCCCTTGGACTTTGGGTATGTGAGCACTCTGTGTTTTAGCCTTGATAGGCCTTGGCGCCAGACAAATCTGATGGACAAGGATCGTAGGGAGAGAAAGAAATTCTTAGGGACGGTGATTGGTACAGTCTGGAAGACGTATAGTAATTTTGGTAGGGTGTCCATTTTGAGGGTGTTGATGCGGCCGAACCAAGGGAGGGCTGAAGTGCCCCAAGACGCCAAGTCTTTTCGGATACTAGAGAGGAGGGGTAGGTAGTTGAGAGAGTACAGAGCGGTGAGGTTCACAGGGATCCATAATCTCAGGTATTTAATGGCCGTTGGGCGTCATTGAAAAGTAAAGCTGGAGTGAACGTTCGACAGCACATGGGCAGGTAGAGATATGTTTAGGGCCTCGGTTTTTGAGATGATGAGTTTAAAGTTACTAAAGAGGCAGAATCTACGGAACCCGTGGAAGAGACAGGGGAGTGATATATGTGGTTGTTGGACATAAACTAGGAGGTCATCCGCGTATAAGGGTATTTTATAGTGCGCAGAGGGAGTGCGAATGCCCGTGATTGAGTCGTTCGCTCGAATGGCTCTCGCGAGGTGTTCCATTATCAGTACGAAGAGAAGGGGCGAGAGTGGACAGCCTTGTCTAGTCCCGTTCGAGATAGGGAAGGGTGGGGAAGTTGTGCCGTTGACCAGAACTGTTGCTGAGGGTCGGGAGTAAAGTGACATGATCCAAGCTAGGCACCGAGAGCCCACGCCTATCTGTTTCAGGGCAAGGCGTAGGAAATACCAGTCCACGTGAGCGAACGCCTTCTCGGCGTCAAATGACAGTAGGCATGCCTTTAAGCCATGGCGTTTGATGTAAGATATGAGGTGGATGGTTTTGGAGGTGTTATCTCTGGCCTCGCGGCCTGGGACAAACCCCACCTGATCGCGGTGAACTAGAGTGGGAAGAAAAGGTGACAAGCGGTTCGCTAGAAGCTTTGCGAAGAGCTTAGCGTCTAAGTTGAGAAGGGAGATTGGGCGATAGCTACCGCAGAGGGATGGGTCTTTATTTGGTTTCGGGATGACTGAGATGTTGGCCGACAGGCCGGGGAAGGTACATTCTGATCGTTGATGGTGTTGAAGGCTTGGGATAGAAGTGGAGCTAGAGGGGCGGAAAAACATTTTGTAGAAGCGGGGGGTGAACCCGCCCGGGCATTTGCCGGAATTCAAGGCCTTGATCGCCCCAAGGACTTCCATTGTCGAGAAGGGCTCTTCCAGGGCAAGGATTTCTTGTGTGTCAAGGACCGGCAGTGCCGTCTCCTCGATATATTGGATATATTGGGCCATGTCTGAAGGGGAGTGGGCGGAGGGGGTAACGGGCTACGCCGGGTGGAGGTTATAAAGATGAGCGTACTAACGTTCGAACGCGGATGAGATTCCCTGGTTATTATAGATTTTGGTGTTGTTGGGTGCCTTTATGTGCTGGATCGGTCGGTGATAAGGGCGCGGATGGAGAACACGTGACAGGTGTTGCCCGCATTTATTTGCTAAAGTGTAGTGTGTGTTGCGTGCTTTATCTCGTGCCACCAGCGAGGAGGAGTCCAACATCTGGAGTAGGTCCCGGCGGGCGTTAGACATATCTACCGCGGTCTTCGGGTCTAGCGTACTCTTATGGGAGGATTCCAGACGCGCGATGAGCGAGAACAAGCGACGCGTCTCTGCCGATCGGGCTTGCTTTTTTTTAAGCGCGCGCCGTATTTAATGAGAAACCCTCTGATGACACACTTGAGCGCCTCCTATTTTGTTAAGGGAATCTGTCGTGTCTCAGGAGTGATCAAGGACAAAGTGTTGTATGGTCTGTGATACCTCTGCAATACACAGGGAGTCCTTGAGCAAAGTGTCGTTCAGACGCCAGGAGAAATGGCGCTTTGATGTCGGTCGGTTTTGGATGGCCAGGTGTATTAGGGCATGGTCATAAAAGGTGGCTGATGGCGAAGGAAGTCGGGTAATCGAGGAGAGATTGCGATACAAAGAAGTAGTCAATGCGACTGCATGACTGGTGTGCCGGGGAATAGTAACTGTAATCTCGCTCCGATGGGTGTTGGGTTCGCCAGATGTCCACTAGGCGTAGGTCTTGAAGGCGCGACTTAATGAGGGATAGGGTCGTCGCAGGGAGAGAAGATTTGCCCAAGGAAGTGTCAAGTTCCGGTGAGAGAGCCACGTTAAGGTCCCCTCCGACTATGTAACAGGACCTCCAAAATCAGATAGCTTGGAGAGGACCTTTGTCAGGAATGGGGCTTGGTCTTGGTTGGGGGCGTATACGTTCGCTATCGTGAAGACAAAGTCTTGATGCTTTAGCTTGAGGAAAAGGCAAGTGAGTCCAGGACCTCTGGGTTGAAGGTGTGATGGAAGGCGATCGGCACCCCCCGTGACCTAGCCAGTGGGTTAGTGCTGTGATACCAATGAGTAAAGTGGCGATTAGGGAGAGCTGGGGATACTATCTGCGAGAAAATGGGTCTCTTGGAGAAGCAGGATCTGCGAGCCGTGCTTGTTGAAGTGATATAGCATCTGGCTCCTCTTCTCCGGTGTGTTGAAGCCCCTACAGTTGATGGAGGAAGATTTGATCGGAGTCATAGTCGGGCCGTGCGACAAGTGGAGGTGGGATGCGTCACCCAAAACGGTGCCTAAACCCTCCCTTGGGTTGGGAGAAGGGGAAAGAGAGAAAAAAAAAAAGGGGGAATGGGGAGATAGGGGCAGACAAAGAGAGAAAAGTAACAAAGAGATCTACCAGACAGGCTGTCTGGACACGCAAACAGTGTGGTGTACAATACACTGAGGGCCAGGTGGGGAACGTCACTGGCGCAAGTGTCCGATCCCGACTCAAGCCCCCCACAGGCAATTGGCAACTTCAAGGGGGGTCCCCCCGGCACACTTATCTTCCCAGTGAAAGGCTGTGCGGGGGTGGGGGCAGAAGACTTCTCATTGGAGCAAGAGAGCTGACCACACTGTGCTCTCATTCCTAATGTGGTCAGTTTTTAATTGGAAAGCAGAGGGACTAGCAGGAACACCAGGGATTTCACACAAAGGAAGCAATACAAAGAACAGGATTCTTTTTCATACAAGTACAGCAGGCACATATCAGGATTATAAAATGTTGAGTTTACATGTTTTTCAATCAATGCAGTTGACGTGCAGTCAGTTTTTTAGGTTATCAATACCATAGACCATATACTGTATATATGTACTAATTTATTAATGAAAAATGATATTTTGTATGT